TGGTGGAAGGTGGGGGTGAGGCGGCGAACACCGGGGCCGGGCGAGGCTGGGGCGAGGCGAACTCTGGGGCTGTGGTGGAAGGTGGGGGTGAGGCGAACACTGGGGCTGGTTGAGGCTGGGCCACTGGGGCAGTGGTGGCAGGCTGCATTTGTGTCGAATCCTTTTGCCGTTCTCTATACTGCCTCTGATACTCTGCATTTTTAACTTTGGCCCATCTTTTTTTCTGGGGGTTCTGACGAGCTCTTGATTGGCGCCTGAGCTCATTAACATGGGCTCGTCTTTCCTCCTCAGTCATGTCCTTCGGTTTCTTCTTTGGCCTGTCCTCATCCACTGAGCTGTTGCAGTCACGGCGGAGCTCCCTCCTTTCTTCAGCTCTTCTCCTCTGTGCCATTTTCTTCATTCGAATCCTGGAAACGACAAAATGGTACTGGTGTGTGAAAATAGTGACCAACGATTCAAATATACAAATTAAATTGTTTGCCCATATGTCTGCTGAAAAAACAAAAACATTTTACATCATCACATGTACATGAAAAAGGGGGCTGGGATTGAGTTGCTTAATGTTTGCCACTGGCTGTAGAAAAATTTGCTCCAGCTAAAAATTCACAAAAGTAGATTTAAATGAGTTGCTAATTATGTCTTGTGGACACAAACAAACCTTCTCTGCTCCCTTTCCTTCTCCTTTTCAGCTATCATAGCTCTTGTATGGGGCTCGGTGTCCCATTTCGCCTTCTTTGCATCTCGTCTCGCTTTGGATCGAAGTCTTTCCTTCTCAAGATGAGCCTCATACTTCTCAGGCTCCTCAGCTTTCCATTTATGGCGAAGTTGGGTGGAATTGGAAGGCATCTAAAATGGACAGTGCAGCAAATATAATGGGATATGTTTGAAATTAAGTAAAGCAATGGAGTATCATCTAGATTCTAGATCTATCCGAATATGAAATAGAGATTTAGACAAAATTAGATTTAAATCAACTTGGAATTAATTTCCGTGGAATCAAGAACACTAAACCACGTTATTAAAGATTTTAGAAAATAAAAATGCCATAAAATATCATTCCAAATCACCATCTTCTTGTCCAAACAAAATGACAGCGCAATTATAAGACTCACTTTGGGACGACCGCGCTATTATAAGACTCACTTTGGGACGACCGCGCTATTACAAGACTCACTTTGGGACGACCGCGATGTATGGTAAGACTGGGCTTGGGACGACCGCACTAAAAAGTACCGAAATTGAACATTCGAAGGTCCTGTTGAGACAATGACCAGCTAACTGACCAACAAAGCCGCTAGCGTCATGTATCGATAACTGGTATACGATGTTGCACTCGTAAAAATAATCATTTACTTGTAACTGTCAAGAAAACAGGAGTTGAAGTGGGTTTTTTGCTTTCATATCGCGGTCGCCAAATCGCGGTCGTCGCAGTCTTACAAAAAAAAAGGGGTAAAAAACATTGCAAAACACTTACCTTGGGCGAAAACACAAACACAGTTCAAGAGACCCGCTACTGACGCTAAACTAGAAAGCCTCAGTTTCGTATCAGGTCGTCGGCGTTTGTCGGAAAACTACGGAAAGTGCCGACTTCAAACGTCAATTCTTCAAGTCTTACAAAGAGTGGATTTTTAAAGACGGCTCCAAATTTTCATAATTTTTCGGAAAAATTAACAAATATCCTCTGAAATAAAATTCAAATGCCTACTTTACTGATACAAACCAAAAAAAGTACGATTAAACACTTTGGAAGTTCAAAAAGTGTTGTTGTTTCAGCGGAAAAGTACTGCCTTACGAGGCTTAAAAATGACCTTGACTTTTCTGGCTTGGCAAATTTGATCAAAGTCACGTACAACATTTTTTGTTTGTTTTTTAGCCAACTGGTGGTTTCTAATTTCATAATACACTCATGGATTTGTCGATATCAAAGATTTTCATATGAAATACGAACATGCTGTGAACCTGGTGAAAGTTGGGAATTGCCGTAGGACCGGATCTTGGCGTTTGAAGCCCTTTAAAGTAATATTTGACCCATAAATAATTAAAGCAAACACATTTTCTTGATTTTCCTGTTTAATAATCGTTCAAACAATGACATAAAACAAAACAAATAGCAAAGTGATGTTTTTGGTAATTTTTATTCAAAATGAAAGTTTCAAACTGTCTCCCAGGCCCTTACCGTGAAATCTGCCATATGACCTTATGCAGTTGCGAGCGCCGTAAAACCTCTACTAAAACTAAAACTAACTTATCCGTAGTGAGATATCCCTGGTCCTCCAAATCCCGTTCAAAGAAATAAATTTATGCAGTTTGTGCCTTTCCAATGCGGGACTTTATTTCAGCGCCTGTTCCTCCCTCTCTGTCAATTATACTCCCAAGATAGCAGAAGAATTTGACGTCTTCTAGTTCATTTCCCTCTACTGTGACCTGGTCCTTTCATAGTGCATCTATTTCGGGTGTGGATCCTCCATCCAACAGACATCTGTTTAAAATTCTTGTCTTTGCTTGCCTCTGTTCCTGAGTGTGTGACAAAAGTGCCTAGTCATCTGCAAAGTCCAGATCGTCCAACTGTGTCCATGGGGTCCACTATATGCCGTTTCTGTATCCTCTTGTGGTTTCCTTCATCAGCCAGTCGATTGCCAAGATAAAGAGGAAAGGTGATAGTAAACATCCCTGTCTCACACCGGTCTTGATGTCAAAGCTGTCAATGAGCTGGCCATCATGTTTAACCCTGCAATATGTCCTTTCGTACATGCTCCTTATGAGGTTAACCAACTTCCGTGGGATTCCGTAATGTCTCAGTATCTTCCACAGTGTTGCTCAGTCTATGCTGTCAAAGGCATTCTCATAGTCAAGAAAGTTGACGATCAACTGGGAGTTCCACTCCAGGGACTGTTCTACTATGATCCTCAGTGTAGCAATCTGGTCCGTGGTTGACGGGTTTTTCCGAAAACCAGCCTGTTCATCCCGAAGTCTTGGATCCATTGCAGACTTGATTCTCTTGAATTGGTGATTTTGAATAAAGACTGCTGGCACTGATCCTCTAAAACTCTACTAGCATAGACGAAATGACCGGTTTCCTGTTAGGCAGATTTCAATTAAGGGATCGAACTCGCTGACAAACAACTCAGATCTTCGTGTGAGCTAGCTGAGGAAAGAAAATAAAGTGGTATGACCTGAGATATTTGTTTTAAAATCTTTTAAAAACACATCATTATATAATTGCATGTCTGTATGTTTTTGGGGGCAAGTGACACCAGAGGTTTTAGGATTATTAGTGAATTTTTACAACACCATGTGGTCACAACAATTTGAAGCTTACTGAATGAAAATGATCACTGAATAGGCGAGCTTTTATAACAGTCAGACTATTTGACTTTGTGAGTGGAACAAATATTTGAACCAATTAAAAATCGCTCAATTTTCTGGGCAGAGCTCACATCATGCATATCTAGGTTCTGTGTGTGTGCACACCATGGACCATAAGCCATGTGTATATTTTGATATTATTTTTTTCTTCCTTTTTTAGGTCCAGTGAACAGAAAAATACTGAAATTATATTGTTACTACTTACATTTTACGTTTTTGTAACTTAACTTTAAGTTTTTTAATTGTTTTTTCAGGGTGATATTGTTCGTAAATTGAAGTCAGAAGGAGCCGTCGAAATTGATGTCAAGAGGGCAGTTGCAGAGCTCAAGCACAAGAAAAAGGCTTTGGAAGATAAGGTACTGTCACTCCTAAAACAAATTTAATCTGACTAGTGACTTTTTAGCATCATCCCCATCTTTTTAGACCAGGGGCACGATTGTATGTGTGAAGGTCTAGTGGTTTCTGGTGAAGAATTAACAACTTATAGTAATTGGAGAGTTATTACTCTTGAACTGATTTAAAATTGAATAGTGAGCATTTATAATCAGGATGTAATGACTCTTTTTACTGCCCCGCTGTTGGAAACAAGATTGTATGACAGAGGCACATTTGAACGCAAGACAAACTATCAGATGCATCCTCCTGTAATCTTTGGTTCTATAAGCGGGAACCATTTTCAACAATGAATTACTGTTGAACTTGGTTACAAGGATGTTCGTAAAATTAATGCAATAACATAGTATATAGTATAGTTAAAGCATAGTTATACAATTACATGCTAAGGTAGGATATGAAAATCTGAAGGATTGGATAATGTGAATGTCACTGGGCTAGCCTTATCAAGTCATAAAGAACACAAATCACAACTATTTTTCTCTCAGGGGCAAAAATTCATTTCACACACTAATGGTTTTCTGGAAAGTTTACTGCAACAGTCATAGAAAGTAAGGTCCCAGTCCACCCCCCCATATCTCTACTTTTGTACGCCTTCCTATAACAACAACCATCTTAGCACTGAACTGACAAAATACTTGCTCCCCACCCATCACGTCTCCCTGCCAGTCTCTTCATTCTGAATCACTTTCCCACGCTGTTTCTTTGCTTCATTAATTACCATTTTCGATTTTCTTTTGCAGGAACTGGAACTTGCTCCTAAAGATGACTTTGATAGGTTGAAAATGGAAGACTTGCTGAAGCAGAGGTTTTTCTATGACCAAGCGTTTGCTATCTATGGGGGTGAGGCATTTAACGTCCATACATTTTGTTCATGTTTAAGTTTTAATTGAGTATGTTTATAAATATATGTATCACATTGAGATTATTGTTAATAAAGTTTTAGATTTCATGTTTTGTCTGTTGATGGGTGTTTTGAATATTTGTTATGACCTTTGACTTATATTGTATCATACTGTTAGCATCATCGAGGAAGGTCTACAAAATGTCAACTGAGCTGTCTTTTGCCATAAGTCTTAGCTTTAATGATCAAATATTGAGTTTGAAAAAGGCAATGCATATAATTTCTTTTGGACAAAAAGATTTACCTTGATTAAATTTCATGTTTTTTTTCAAAATCTAACTTTTCAGTAATAAACAGTAGAGTCCGTTTAAATTGAAATCTGTAAGACTGCTGGATTTTCTTTGGTATATGGTTTAAAGAGAATGCTCAAATAGAATTTTAAAAAGCGGGGATTTTGCAAAGCTTGACTTTTCTTTTCTATGGTTTGACTCTGCAGGTATCAATGGCCTATATGATTTTGGCCCCATGGGTTGTGCCATGAAAGCAAACCTGCTACAGGCATGGAGGAAACATTTTGTTTTAGAGGAGCAGATGTTGGAAGTGTGTACTGCTATGCTCACCCCTGAGCCTGTGCTTAGGTAACGAGAATGGTTAAGTGTATATTACTGTTAGTCTTTGAGATGCTCATTCTGATGAAGACAGGTTGAAACCAGATTTAGCTTATTAAATTGTGAGATGTCAGTTGAGCTATTTGTAATGATTCCATATCAGTTATCATTAAATCAACCTTGCAATCAAGCCAGTTTTAGATATTGATAGAGTGTGATCATGGACAACTATAGTCCATTCACTTTCTCATGCCCATGTTTGCATCGCTGTATCTCTTTTTATATCTTGACTAAATACATTGGGGATTTGCTCATAGGTTTTGAATGCTATTGGCCTTCAGGAACATTTTTATACCATGCAAAAATAGAAGCTGTTCCTGATTTTGTTTCTTTGTGTATTGTGAAAAAACGACCTTGTTTGAACATATGCATGCGCTTTAGAATGTTTTAAAAGTAGTGTCCAGGATGAATGGATATATTTGCTTCATAGCCCATTCAAAAGCTTTTGATCTTGTCAGACGTAGTGATCTCTGGAACAAGCCAACGAAAATTGTGTCTACCAAGGCATTATTTACTCGTTTTGTAAATTATCTCTAACTTTGGCTGAACGAATAGATGAGTCTTTCTTGCTCATTAGCCTTTGGTTTTTTAAAGAATGGGTTTTAAGACAAAGTTACAGTTTCTTCATATTTTTTTAAGCTTTAGTTACTTTGACTGTTCAATGATAATTTACATTAACAATAACATTGTTCCTGTATGTCTGACATGTACCTATCAGATCCTGGGCTTGTTATGAAAATTTAGTGTATTCAAAGAATGGTTGATGTTTATTTTGAAGTATTTTGTTGCAGGGCTTCTGGGCATGTGGAGAGATTTCAGGACTACATGGTGAAAGATCTCAAAACTGGGGATTGCTACAGAGCAGATCATCTCATAGAAGGTGAATATTGCTAGCTACAGATCCCCTATTAATAAGTTGTATTGTGTGAAAAAATTTCATCTCTTTTTTTATGTAAGAATATTTCCATATAGTAAGAATGTCCTTTCAAATTGTTTTTTTGAATTTTTTTTTGTTTGTTTATGTGTACATTACTCATACTTTTTCTTAAGCAGTGGTTGCTGACTTAATGTTATTGAACAGTTGTTGGTTTGTATAATTCATAATACATGATAACGAACTTATCACGATCTGTGCTGCTGATTGATTGCTGCTCAGCTCCTACTTGTGTCTGCTTCTTTTGTGCTAATCTACTTCTTGACTAAATTTGACCATGATCATATTGACTAGTGAGTAACGACAACTCAGCAATAACTACTATGGGATAGTTTCTGTTTATAAACTTATAGTTTACCTGTTAAATTGATGATCTTCATTTTGGCATTTTAAAGTACTACATTTTCTGTGGGGACCAGACATGTTACAGCGTTTGGTGATCATTAGCCAAAATATAGAGGGAAAACTTGAGTTTGGTTTTTGAGTGCTAATCTCCATCCTTCCCACAGCCACATTTGAGAAAATGCTGGATGACAAGAAAACTGCTGATGAAACCAAAGAAGCAATCCGGGCTCTCCTTCCTACGGTAATTTGTAACATCACTATTTAATCTGTTTTCTTTAATGACTTCATTATTTGTTCGGTGATATATATTAGAATTTTATGTAACTTATTTATCCTTTTTTTCCTGTGTGTTTGCTATTAAAAAATAAGCTCAAACATTTCCACTGAAGTTGTTTTTTTCCCCCCGACTATATTTCAGTGTAATGCCAATTTATTGAAAGCCTTTAATAAGAATGACAAAACAAATGCTTGTGAAGTTATGATTAAAGGAGTATGGGAGAATGTTCAAGGCTTCAGGGGTACGTTTTTTTCTTCTTCAGATTGATGGCATGAGCAAAGACGACATGGGGCGGACTCTCAGGGAGTATAACATGAAGTCGCCAATCACTGGAAATGATCTTACAGACCCTATTGACTTCAACTTGATGTTTGCAACCTCAATTGGTCCCACTGGTCAATTGAAAGGGTCAGTTCAGCATCAAATTTTGCCGTAAAATTGTTATTTGAGCTTAAACAGGGACTGAATATGTGGCCAAATTATACAAATTTGATATAACAGAGGCTCTATCACATTTGCCATCCTTTGTTGAAAGACGTCTACATTGTTAGGTAAAAAATCTCAGTTTGAGGGATGTTTGCATTATCTTGAAAATGTCAGTACGTATGCTCTGAAGAAAGAAAAAGATTAAGAGCGACAAAAAAAAATTCCCAGGTGCTTTTTTTCCTTTTCCATGCTTTCCACAATATACTCTAGCAGAAATGATAGTTTCCATACTTAATTTATGAAGTGCGTATTCAACTTAGCTAGCCTAGGGATATGCCCCTGTTTACCTCTCATGCAAAAGTACCCTGTTCATTTCTTGGTTTGTACAGTTGATATGTTTGGATTTTCTGCAGATTTTTAACTTACTGTGTTCTTTCGGCAGTAGGCTTGAACTGTTTTCTTAGATAAAGGAACTGGAGGACCATTGTGCTCATTTAACACTTACAAACCACTTTGATAGTTCAATGTGGAAGAGCGCTGATCTGAATTTGCTGCCTTAAAGGCGAGGGAGCCAACAGTCTTTTAACTCTGTAATATATTTGAAGTTTGGCCTACCTAAGTAGTGATCAGTTATGCTGTGGAAGAATGTCCACTCCTCTGAGGTGTATCGAGAGAAGTGTGATGAGAAGAGATATGTGAACTCTGAATTCGTCACTTTGATTAGTTAAATAATCTTGGAACTTTTTGTTTTCAGTTTCCTGCGACCCGAGACAGCTCAGGGTATCTTTGTCAATTTCAAGCGCCTGCTTGAATTCAATCAAGGGAAGTTGCCGTTTGCTGGTGCCCAGATTGGTGATTCCTTCAGGAATGAAATCTCACCTCGATCTGGTCTCATTCGTGTCAGGTGGGCTAGCAAGCGATTTCGTGATTCATCAAACATTTCATGTTATTATCACAAAAAAGTAAGGCAGTCAGATTTTAAATACTGTAAAATTCGGGTTATAAGCCAAGACTTTTTTCCTCAGCTTTAAACTCTGCAGCTTAAATAACAGAGAGGCTTATTTGTGGGTATTCCTGATTGCAAGAGCATCACTCCATCATCTATTCTTAGCGTACTCCTAGACCATTAAAAGCTGACATATTGTCCTCAACACCACACTTTAGTGTACGCCTAAGAAACACGGTCCAACAGATGGGTGAGTACTTTTTTAGACTCACATGGAGACGTCTAGACGGCCGTGGGCTGAAATCTACAAGCTTACACTGAAATATAGGAGGCATAGGGGTCTCGCAGTCTCAAAATGAGCGATTCGTAGGCTAGATTACTGTAAGTCATTTACCAGTATTTTTTTGATTCTGTGACGTACATATCTGTGTTGTATATTCTGCTAGGGCTAATAAAACAATGCTGCTTATTTTTTAAATAAAAATTCAGATTTAAAGAAAAATGTAGTGGGTGCGGCTTATTGCAAGTACTCTCAATAACCCGAACTTTACGGTAGTTGAGAAATAAGTACAGCAGAAAGCTTTAAGTTCCTGGTTTTTCCCGAAATAGGTCTAAATACTAGGGCTGTGAAAATTTGTTAGAGGAGTTGTCCCCACTGCTGTCTTTTGCTTTGTTGGTTAAGGAACCAGATGGCTACTACAGGACATTTGAACCATGAGTTGGGTGTTTTTTTACCTCAAAGAATGCTCAGGATATAATTGGGTGCGAGTTATTGTTCCTTGGCAAGGGATGAATTCAGACATATAGTGGCTATTGTATGTTTGTTCATTAGTCTGTAAAGAATTAAAGAATTATTGTCTAATTTCTGTAGCCAGTTTTGTTCTTAGATAGATAATAGTACACTTAATAATACTTTTGCTCTTTTTGTATTGTTTAAAAAACTTTCAGGCGAGAAGATGAGGGGTAAAAAAAATCTTTTTAAGAAATCAAATATTTTATTTTTGCTCCATCAACAGAGAATTCACAATGGCAGAGATAGAACATTTCTGTGATCCCACTGATAAGTCTCATGCCAAGTTTCCAAAAGTCGCTGATATTTTAATGACCTTGTATTCTGGCTGTAACCAGATGGATGGCAAACCACCAGAGAAAGTGACAATTGGTGAAGCTGTGAAAAGTGTAAGCAAATATTTGTGTTGATTATTTTTATTTCAAAACTTTTAAGTGTAGACAATGTCAAGCTGTTTTTACCCTTCCAATTGAGTTTATACCTTTAGTTTGTTAATGTTTTTTTGTTCGCGGTTTATGCAAGAAGCGGTCATTTTGAAGATTTTTTGCTGCCTTTAAATACAGTTGTTACAGACAAATCTTGTTTATGACAAATAAAGAATTTTCAAAATATTGTTTTGTGCATCAGTAGTTTAACTTTGAGTTGTATCTAACTTGAGTTTTACGGCAAAAGCAATGATCAACTGAGCTAAATTGCATGTATTTTAGAGAAAGAGATATGCTTCCCCACAGCTTAAGTGAAAGATGACTTAGACACCGAAAGTCATTTGGACAAAGGGAAGCAACTTTAGAAAAAGCAAAGAAAGCGGTATTTTGCTTGACTTTGAAAGCGGATCATATGTTTTATATTGCATATTGTGAAGATTGTGCTTTCAGATGTGCACTGTTCAAATCTTTTTGACCTTGATTATTTTACTCTCTTTAATAGGTTTTGACTTCGTTTCATTGAATGGATCTTTTGTGGTCATTGCGCAATAAATTGTTTTCATGTTTGTGCTTTTTTTTAACAACTGATGATTGCTCTTTTGTTTTACTGTTCAGGTCATGTTAGTACCTGCAATACAAGTAGCCCAATTTTGTCATTTTAGCATTTTCTTTCTTTAAGCAATAACAATGTTTTCAAGTTCATTTATTCCCCATATTGAAATGTGTCTCTTGTTCACAGAAACTCGTTGCCAATGAGACACTTGGTTACTTCATGGCTAGAATTCAGCTCTTTTTGATCAAGGTCGGTGTTGATCCAAGCAAGCTGCGTTTCAGACAGCATTTGTCCAATGAAATGGCTCACTACGCTTGCGATTGCTGGGACGCTGAGTTAAAAACCTCATACGTAAGTGAGAGAGTTGAAATTTATGCAATAAATAAGTTTTTAAGACATCTCCGTACACATTTATGAGACTGTGGGGTTTAGTTAGAAGATTTTGAATCCTTTTTTCCAGGATTTACAATTTTTTTTTTTGTGAATAGTAAAAGACATGGGCTATTAACTTGGATTTGATGACTTTGTTAATATTTAGACATTACTTGGTTGGATTTTGCCGTGGCCTATACCCTGATGCAGGGTGAGAAAGGCAATGATGACTTGGTTGGATGGGACGCAGAAATGACCAGTTGACAGTTTATCTATGAACTCAGCGAAACTTTTTCTTTCTTGTCATCATGTTTAAACAACTTTATCTTTTAGATTTAAAAAAGGCCTTTAAAAGAGCGTTAGGCTGGTGGAATTTTGTGTACCTTAGAATTTATAGTTTGAAATAGGCATGCTATGTCAGTATTGAGCGGGGGAGGTTGTGTTTGCAGTTCGGAAGGGAACTGGTTTTTTGTTGATGAGAATATGAATCTCATTTTATCTCTCTGTCTCTTTTTCAGTTTCTCTCGGTTTCCTCACTCTCACGCACACACACGCACACACACTCACACTCAGACTCACATACACATGTACACTCTCTCTCTCTCTCTCTCACACATGCATGCTCATATCAGCACCCTCGTACATTCTCCCATTCCTTCTCACACTTTAATTATTTAGAATATTTGATAAAGTATTTTGCTTTCAGTGGTAACTTCCTAGAAAAGAATATTCTTTTATTCTAGATTTGATCCTTGAGTATGGAAATCAAAGCTTTTCACAACTCGTGTTATAATATATTTTGTTTCTATCCTCAGGGCTGGATTGAGTGTGTTGGCTGTGCTGACAGATCGTGCTATGATCTCACTCAACACACCAAATCTACTGGTGTGAAACTGGTGGCAGAGAAACCACTGCCAGCTCCAATATCCTTTTAGACTTGCTGAGTGAATTATCAGATTTTCCCATCTCTCAAGTTACAAGTGTGTGGTATAATGAACTCTTTTTGGTGACTCTTGATGGTATACACTTGTTTCCTATTTATCAATGAACTTTTGTATTGTATCTGCCTTTGTCGTTTGATATTTATTTGCCTATCGTTTAGTGGATTTCTTTCTGAAGTTTTCAAACTCGAGACTAATAGCTTTTGGTACCAGTAGTGTCCTTTCCTGAAGACTTCATCAGAGTGTAATAAGACAAATGAATTGAACTGGCGTCTAAAATGCAGTGGTTAAGCACTTCACCTTTGCCTGCAGAAAGTCCGAGTTGGATTCCTGTGTTGGGAGAACTTTTATTTAGTACAATATTTCGGTCTTTCTCCTGGGATGATGTGGCCCTTTCTGCCTTGGCTGGCCCTTACAGGCAGGGTCGAAGGTCAAAGGCCACCTTCTGAATAATATAAATTATTTTGATGGGGGTGTGGAAAATACGTACCTTAAAAAAGAAAAAAATGTCACTTGTGCTATTTTCTCCTTAACCATACTCACCGAACCTTGGATATTGTGGAGTGTGTGCCTCAGAAGGGGCCACTTGGTAAGTCTTTCAGGCAAAATGCTAAGGCCATCACGGAGCATCTGAGCAAGCTGTCATCTGAAGAGGTCAACAGTGTGGAGCAGGCACTCAATGAGACAGGGTAAGTTGAAGGCGTCTGATGTAGGCGTAATTTTATTATTACTATGCCTTGATTGCCCATTAAAAAGATGACTGTGATACTACTGACACCTGGTCACAAATACATCTGCCGTAGTAATATGATAAAATAAATTGTTAACACATTACACCATAACTCGCCCGGAAATTCCCTTACACGCTCCACCCTAACTCACCCTGAACCGCCCGCACGGACCTAGCGTCTTTAGAAATGAAGTCTCGCCTTGACGAGACTCGGGCCGAGATTTTGATTTGCATAGTTATTACAAAATGTTTCTTCTTTCGTCTGATACCGAAACGAAATTTTTAGAGCTAGTAGTTTTAGAATTAGAGCCGATCGAAGTGCGATTGCGTTACCGACACTTCGAAGGTGTCTCAACCTGTTGGAAAGCGATACAATTGAGTTCGAAAAAGGAAATAACGATGGATTTGAGCAAAAACAAGCATATTATTATGACAAATCAGATGACTCAGATTTTGATGAAAACGTTGTAGTTGTAGCAAGAGTTTGGGGCGATTCAGATTGATCAGATGTAGAAAATCTAGAATTTAGATCTTGGGCCTGACCACGAGGCTGAGAGTGAGAGTGACGTGTCGGACACCCTGATTGAACTAAAGTTAGAACATTTCCAACAGTTTGCCCAAACATAAAGTTATATTTTTCTGAAACTGCTTTCATTTTCCTTTATAACTTTTATCGTTTCAGGATTGTTGGAATTTATTTAGCGTTTAAAAAATGATTTTTAAACGCTTGTATTCACGGGAGATGGGTTCCTTCCCCTTACTTAGGATCAAAGAATGGACTTTCTTTCCAGGCCCTTAGGTGTAATGTGTTAACTTGCAAACCGCAGGGACCGCTACAGAGTTAGGCAGTTGAAATTGAACTTTGATTGCAACATATTGCATGGGTAGGCAGTGAGTTCAGACAATTTAACACATTACACCCTAAGGGCCTGGACGGGAAGTCCATTGTTAGATCCTAAGCAAGGGGAAAGAACCCACCTCCCATGAATACTTGCCTTTAAAAAAAAACATTAAAAAAATACTAAACAAATTCCAAAAATCCTGAAAAAATAAAAGTTAAAAAGAAAACTGAATGTAGTTTCAGAAAAATATAATTTAATGTATGCAAAAACTGTTGGAAATGTTCTAACTTTAGTTCAATCGGGGTGTCCGACCCGTCACTCTCACTCTCAGCCTCGAGGTCGGGCCCTAGATCTAAATTCTAGATTTTCTCCGTCTGATCAATCGGAATCGCCCCAAACTCTTCCTACAACGTTTTCATCAAAATCTGAGCCATCCGATTTGTCACATGCTCGTTTTTGCTCAAATCCATCATATATTTCCGTTTTCGAACTCAATTTTGTCGCTTTTCAACAAGTTGAGACACTTTCGAAGTGTCGGTAACGCGATCGCACTTCGATCAGCTCTAATACTTAAACTAATGGCCCGAAAAATTTAGTTTCGGTATCAAACGAAAGAAGAAACTTTTTGCTATACTATGCAAATCAAAATCCCGGCCCCAGAGTCTCGTCAAGGCGAGACTTTCGTTTCTAAAGACGCTGGGTCGGCGCGGGCGGTTCCGGGCGAGTCAGGGTGGAGCGCGTAAGGGAATTCCCGGGCGAGTTAGGGTGTAATGTGTTAAGTTTTTGCTATTTCTTTTTTTGGATGTTTTGCAAAATCATGAAATGGTTTGTTTTAAATGAGCATCATATTTTGACTTTATTATGATATTTGTTCTGTTCCTCCCTTGGTTCATTTCTAGATTACCATTTTAGTAACACAAATTTGCACACTGAGTTGTCTTAAAAAGTGGTCAGTTTTTCTGAAGTTCAAAGATACTGATGAATGATCAATGAAGAGACATGATTCAAGTGAGTACTTAATTGTGATGTTTCTTCACTCTGATCATGATGTTTTAAGGACTGGATAAGGCACGTTGCAATCAATTAAAAAAAATTCATTTCAGGTCTGTCAACGTTGATGTAAATGGTTCAAGCTTTGCCATCACCAAAGATATGGTGCAAGTAAAGAGATATCAAAAGACTGTTCATGGTGAGCAATTTATTTATCGTGATGTAACTTGGGTATACATTTATCATTATTTGCTTACTGTAATTGGCTTTTGAAAAGTTCTCTTTAAACAATGTTTTTATGCTGAAAGTTTATTTGCTTTCAGCTATTGTTTTTTTCATTTGACCTGTGCTAAATTTTAAATAATTTCATATCAGACTGTTTCCTTAAACGGCGTATGTTATAGATTATGATGAAAATTAATTCAAAAGATAAATATTACATAAGAGTGGTGCTGACAACTTTCTGTAATTGCTGTTTCTTTATTGTTTCCCTTTTGATTCTCTTTTTCAGTGGAGGAATTTGTTCCATCTGTCATTGAACCCTCTTTTGGCATTGGCCGTGTCATGTACTCTATATTTGAGCACAACTTCAAAGTCAGAGAGGGGGATGAACAAAGAACGGTAAATATATATAAGTTCCTTTTGTGACAATAAATGTTTCATTTGCAGAGGACATACATGATTTCTTGTCATACTTTTATAAGAAGTTGGTAAAAGAAACCTGATCTGTTGAGTGTATTGTGTAGTTTTAGTTTCAGGGGTATAGGGCCAAACTTTTGGTGGGCTGATTCATTTATGACTCGCAGAGATTTGTTTTTCCCTCAGTTTTGTTCCTTATAGTATAGTCCGAGTGACTCTACCTGCTGAAGCTCCTTGGCATGAGATTATCAGGGTCAGCTGTGGTGGAAAGGATTCAACTGTGGCTGTGATCTTTTTTTGCATTTTTACTAACATTGAAGAAGTTTAGCTTCCTTCCCATCTTACTTAGCAAACCAGTAAATTTATAAACAAAAAGCTCGAAAGTTTTGAGATTAACTGTATCGTAAAATAAAATTGTAAATTTCTATAATGCCTCCTTTATACACTTGTTCTTAAAAAGAGGTGGAACCTCAAAGTTTAAAGGTCATCTCCAACAGGACCAAACGAAATGGGTGGAAAGCCGTAAAAAGTCCCTAAGGCAAACCAAGCATAGAATACCTCATTGAGGATTCGAACCAGTGTCATCCACCCCATAGTTGGGATGCTAATAATTGAGCTAACAACATGCCGTACATGGACATTTTGCATTAAAGAAAGTTTATTTAGAGATCCAAGTGTTTGTTGGGTGTCCAGTCTATCCGATTTTTTCGTTCATATACATAAATAAAATATGATTTATTCCCTCTTGGAACAATGTATCTTTTCAAAGTGGGCTGATTGACTAACAGTTCACATCATGACACGTTACTCTCATATGCAGTTGTGATATAGTGTATTTTTTGTGATTTTGCTAAGCTGTTAACTTTATATAAGGTTCTGAATTCACTGATTATTGACAAGAATGTTGTTGTATTCATAGTTGTCTCAATGATTTGTTTCAATTTGTTTCCTTTTCATGACTGTTTCTCTTTTCAGTATCTGGCTCTACCCCCAGTAATCTCGCCTTTCAAATGCTCTGTGTTGCCACTCAGCCAGAATGCGGATTTCGTGCCTCTTGTACAAAAACTCTGTGAGTAGCTCACGAATATTGTACTATAAAGTGGTAGTACGCAGTTAACCTGGCATCTGTTGTCACTAATTCTTTGAATTCTTCCATCAAAGTGTTGTGGACAAAGCTATGACACAGACCATGCAATGCAACAGCTTATTTAAGACAAGTTGGGTTTCTTTTTAAAATCATAAAGTGTCCACACTACACACATGAAAATACAAATTAATCTATTCTTCCTGCATGCTTTTCTTATTTTCAGACACAGATGTTGTACAACATGGTTTTTGTAGCCATTGTGAAAATTGTACAGATCTCAATCAATTAAGATTTGTGGCATAAAAATGTGATAAGCTTTCACTCTCTTTTTTAAGGCTGCTAGTGTATGCCATAATCAGATCTTTGTCGCATGAACAGTGGAGAAACCAGTTCTCGTGAAAGGAAAACTTCACAGCATTGACACTTTATTTACTTTCAGAGCTTTCGAGATGGGTGTATAGGGTTGAAGGGTGCTGCTTGTAGTTGCTACTTTTCTTCTTTTTTTCTTTTGTTTCTGTCTATCTTGTCTTTTCCATGCATGAAATGATTGTTGATCTGTTGATGTGCTTCTCTTCACTTAAAATAAACTTGAAGGCGTTTGAAACAAATGGCCGTAAATGATCTTAATTGTGTCTATGGGGGCATAAAACATGTATAATTACAATTACAGCTGCTGCTTTGACTGATATGGACATCTCACACAAAGTGGACAACAGCAGTGGCTCCATCGGTAGGCGGTATGCCAGAACTGACCAGATTGCTATCCCCTATGGTATCACTGTGGACTTTGACAGCTTGAAGGAGCCAAACACTGCCACACTGAGGGAGAGGGACAGCATGAAGCAGGTCCGGGCTCCGGTAAGTTGATAGTGGCGTTCATGCTGCTCCAGCCTTTAAGTCATTGTGACTGTGACAGTAGTTCCCTCATCTTTAGTGCCACTGGTATCAGTTTACCTGTATCGTTTTTTTCCTTATGTAAATGTTGCCGGGAATGTGTGTTAGAGGCTGCTGCAGGTAGGTCCTGTATCATTTGCCTCGCTATCCCTCTGTTACACTCTAGTTTTATATGTCTGTCCAATTTTTTTCTAGCTCCATATATGACAGTTATGTCAATGTCCTTATTCACTAGAACTAGCAATCTGTAATTCGTGGGTGGTTGGCGGGTGCTCTGCTGTGGTTTGCTCCTTCTTTTCTATAAAACATCTATCGTCCTTATCTCTCCTCCTCCTTTATTGTGTGTAACCCTCTTGTTACACATCTATTCTTCGGCACTTATATGACCTTATTGTGTTGCAAGTGCCGGGAAGATCTTACTAAAATTTGTAATTCTGAGTGTAGATTTGACTGCATTTTTTAGTTTAAAGGTAGTAAGATCAATAATCATTTTCTAACTAGAAACATGTACTGTTTATGAATGGCTCTCTGGTAATGCTCCGTTAATAATGAAAGTACTCTAGTCCAGTCTTATCACTCTTTGCTTGTTTTTCTAGAGGCAATTCTTAGTCCATTCATGATCAGAGAAGCGTGGCGATGAAGCTAACAGACATTGTAAAGCTCATGAGTTCTAATATAATTGGAAATTGGAAAAAAATAATCAGAGATACAATATCGAAAGCTCGTACAATTTGTTACTCTCAGGGATGTGAATTGAATCCTAGCAAAAAACAAATGTTTCAGTAGAAATGAGGGAGAGCTTGTTTGAAAAAGAAATATTTTCTATGTTGTTGCATTTGTTAGTCATTAAAACATCATGGTACATTAATTTCATTAAAATTTCATCTTAAAAAGTGGTAGATGTGGTGCTACTGATAGGTGTTTCTTCATTTTCCCTGTCTTTATTTGTGCATCTGGTTTTCTTTTCCCATGGTACTACATGTCCCCTTGTGACAGAGTGGTTTTGTGTAAATCAAACAAAAGAACAAAGAAGAGTCTGAAATAATAATATCTTGAAGATAGTCAATGTCAATCTTGTTTTTATTTCCTGTTTCAGGTGTCTGAACTGCCAGAGATCATAAAGAGCCTTGCAGATGGCAAGAGGACATGGGAGGAAGTACTTAACAATTACCCAATCTTTGAGCAGCAGGAAGCCAGCAAATAATACGTTTTTGTCTCATTCGATTGTTGTCGTGAGCAAAAGTTCAACAGATGTCAGAAAGTTTGTGTGAAACTGATTCAGTCTGAATTCGTTGTTGTTGTGGTTATTTTGTGATCATGTAATAGTTTTTGGTTTGTTTTTTTTTCTTCTCAGGCTCAACTTTGTGTAACTTTGAGGATCACGGCTGCTTGGGATACAAGCAAATGCTAAGTTTATATGACCAAATATCATCCACCTAAATGTCAAGTTGATGCAACAGTTGAGATCTTGAATTGTCTGTTGTTGTTGGAAAGAATGGAGACATGAAGGCACTAGTCAGTGGGTTGTGACAACCTCTGAACTTTTACATTGGCAGATTGGCAGACTAAGTCAAATCCCTTTAATTTTAGTATTAGCTTTTATTTTGTCCGTTGTAGCCAACTGTGATCTGGCACTGGTATTGAGTCTAGTGCAGGTTGCATTTTTTGTTTTGTTTGTTTTGTTTTGTTGTTGTTAAATACTACAACTTATATATACTCATATGTGCAAGCTTTTTGCAAGCACAATCTGTCATATATATGCCCTATTTTTTTGTTGAGCTGGTAATACTGGTGAAGGCATGGTGTACATTGGTTTTAGCTCTTGTTGATGAATTCTTCTGCTGTATGCTATGTTTCTGTCAAAGTATATTTTATGGAGCGAAATGTTTAAGCATCAATGGTTGCGTATGATCAGTAGTAAAGTCTGTGAGAACATCAAAGGCGTTCCTGTGAGCTTTTTTAAAAAATCATTAAGACTCATTAATTACAGTACAATAAAATTTGAATTAGTTGCACATGCTGCTCTGTTTCCTGCCATTGCAAAAGGATTTGTTGGCAGTGTCACTGATTGGTTGTGTAGTTCATGCATTGTGCATGTATTTTGAATACAAGGGAGGCAAGTAATCATTGTGTATTCATTTGAGGAAGAGTAGATCTTGTTTTGGTGGCAAACATTTATTTATGAGGATTGCCTAACTTGTAGACAAGCAGTCTTCATTGTCCATCATCAAGGGGTGAAATTTCCTTTGTCTATCAAAGAGGGGAAAAGTCTTAAGTATTAGTAGCAAAGTTGCAGGTCTGCCGTCTAAGCAGAGAGTACTTTATATTTCATATGCTCAGTGTCAACCGAGATCTCCCATACAAAGCTATTCCAACATCTACTCTTCCAGTGTCTCAATCTACGCAACCACCTGTAACTTCTTTCCTGACCAAACCTACTGTAGACAACATTCAACATACGGTAATGCAGTAGAAAAAACTTACGCTGACATACACCTTCTAAAAGTGGCACCTGTAGTATGTTGCTATGGGTGGAAGGATTAAGATCAAGAACTGCTGGACTACAATCAGAACAACTTTGGCTCAACTGTTTACTTGGTCGGCTCTTGTTTTGTTTAGTTTGCGAATGCTCTTTTTTTAGCAGTGAATGTAAGAAATAGCTGGGGTCATTTGTAGCAGTAAAGGACACATCTTTGTAGTTCATGCTCTGACTGCTCATCTTTCTCTTGTAACATTATGTGATGATCATTTTATCCTGGTGGGGGGTGAATGTATGCATGGCAGTGAGTACTGTTATTAATACTAGTGCTCTTTGGCTTCACATAGATGTGAACATGTCTGATTTTGTCTGTTTTGGGTGTTGGAAGTCAAATGAGTCTCTCCATGTCTTTTTATTTTACCATGTCTTGTATTATGATCTGCTCCTTTTCCTTTTTTCATCTTGGTCGAAGGTGCTGTCATTTGTAGGATTTTCATTACATAGTAAGTTAAACTATTTTTAACTTTTCTATGTCTGGCCTATTTTCCTTCTAAAGGGTATTGTCCCTTGTCTTTCAGAAATGTAAAAGGATCTCTTCGTCCTTTGTAGCCTATTGACCAGAATTTGTTCAGCTCTTCATGCATTTGTTTTGAACATATGGCTGTTCCTGCTGGCCTCAGCAGTCCTGTTTGTAAAATTGTCGCTGCCTTAGTGTGAGAATATGTGCAAAAAGAGGAGATAGTTGGAGGATTTCACTGGCAGGTCCTTTTTTTTCCCTCAGTTATTTCTGTATCTGGTTGTTTTTTCTCTGCACTGAGTGGCAGTTGTTTTGTCAATGTGCTTGTCTTTACTCAATTCGTCATATGATGTTGTTGGGACCTTCAACATTTTAGTCTTTTACAGTGACAATTGGGTACGGGTTCCGGTTACCTCAGTTGGTATCACACTAGGGTATCATGTGGATGGCCTTGGTATGAGTCTTCAATGGAGAGTTCTTGACCATGTTTCATTTGGGAGTTTTCAAAACTCTTTATCCGGTTGGCTTTGTCATTTTTGGAAATGGAGGTTGGTTAAGTTTCGGCAGATGGTTGGAATTGGATTGTTCCCTCTGTTTTACTGTCTGTTTGTCTTTACTGTTTTCTTGCGCTAAAACTAAATGACTGACTTAATGTACTTTTCTTTACTCAAACATTAAGATCGAAGGGCCCACCCACCTCTTTGATATCCTTACAGGTTGGAAAGGGGTGTTAACCAGTGCAATTAAAATTATCACATCAGAGAAAGCTATGGATTTGATTCCGCCTGCTCAAGGGGTCTGTGGGTGAAAAAATCTTAGAAAAGAAACAACAAAAGACAATGCCTGTGTGGACCAGGGGTCAGCTGTTGTCTCCATTGTAGGCTTCACCTGGTCTCGTTCAGCCCCTCTCCATGACCATTTCTCCTCCTTTGTTTCTTTATCTGCTGGACTTTGCATCTTTGTTTTTTGCGTAAGTGGCTGGACTTCCCTGCTTCTGTCCTTCTCATTTTATGTCTGATTTTCAGTGTAGTTTTTTTCTGGTACTATTTCAAGTGATACAAATTCTGAAAAGATACATGTATGTATGAAGATTCAGCATAATGATGTATACTGTGTTTTTAAACTGTTTTGTGCATTTTTAAGATCCTATATCGAGGCCATTGACATAGCTCTCTACTAAAGTTTAAAATTTCTATTCAGGCTTTTCTGGTCCTTAGAATTTTCTTGGACTGTAGGCTGTAAAGAGGATGTCAAATTTTTCTTTTTTTCAGACGTATTCTTATTACAGTATTAGTATTAAAGATATCATCTGGCCTGATGAATTAGTGTCAATAATTGAGCAACCCTAGTTTTTATGACTATTTCAAATGTGGTTGCAGAAGTTTTACTTAAGGGTAAAGAACCTTGTTGGCTTGTTTATGATTCTTTAAACAAAGGGTATCAATCTTTGATTGCCTGTGGAAAAGGTGCTTATATTGTTTTTTTCTGTAATTTACATTATGAATTGTTTGTTTCTGGCCAAATTAGTACAGTGGTATGTAAATTTTCATGTTCAATTAGAAATTCAAACCACATTTCTGAAGTTTATGAACATCGGAACCCGTCCAAAGAATGGCTAGTACTGAATATTGCTTTTGTCTTATCAACTACATATTCTTTTTGTTTTGTTTCATTAATTTCTCAACTAATTACTAACATTGCACAAAATGAAAAAATTCTGCCCACACTGAGAACAAATTTTGGTTGCTTGTATTTAATTCTGTTCTAACGGAGGAGTGGTAGTATTTTGGTACGTGTACATGTACAAGCTTTCTTGCTCAGAGAGGTAATGTACCATTTTCCGTAATGTCGGTTATCCTCTGAGTGGAAATATGTATAAAATTTAGATGCCACATGAGACCTTTTAAAAAATCCAAGTATTTAGTTTGTGACCTCACTTTTAAGACAAATGGACGCCCCGAGGCACGTTTGGTCCAGGATTATTGGGGAATTCACCATGGCTGTCCGTGTACTTAACTTTGTCCTACTGGGGATGGATGTCAGAATCATGTCAAAACGAATATATATATATATATATATATATATATATATATATATATATTAATACTCGAAGCAGTATTGCTACGACATGTTTGCTTGATGCCATGGATGATGGTTTAATTTAAGTGCCTGCATCTTACACATTTGTACTGTGTGGAAGCCCATACCATGCTGCAGTGGATGTTTCAGAGCTAGAGGCAGTTAGTTGGGTCTAGAAACTCCAATTTGACTTGTTAATTGTAAATAGGGGCCTAAAGACCTCTGAGGTTCAATCTGAGAATTGTGAACTTTTCTCTCCTCTTAGACCAGGAGACAGCTTATTAAATTCTGCTGGCCAATACCTCTCACCTGGTGCACAGATGATGCTCTTGATTCTCAAAATTTCTTGCCAGTGTGTTAGTATAAACGGGTTGATCTATCAGTTCAATGTCTGTTCATCTCTTCTTTTCTGGGTGCAGGTCTGGAAGCTTGTTATGTTGTGTGAGACCACCATGGTGTTGGTGTTTTATATCAAACGAAATTTGTTAGTGATGAAGTTTATAGTTTGAGTCTGCTTGTTGTCTGAATTTTTGTTATCTGACTCTTGAGATCTCTATTTCCTTTCTTCAGCTTCCTGTCCACGTGCAGTAGGGGACTCTCGTGGCCTAGAGACTAGAGGTTAAGGTGTTTGCTTCTCATTCACAGATCCTGGGTTCGAATCCGGGTCGGGTAGCGACGGAAACAATTTTCTTCTCTACAATTGTCTCCCTTCACCTCCTTTCCTGCTCTCAAGCAATGTTCTGTCGTTTGCTACCAACTGAAAATATTTAATGTGTCCCGCGTGCTCATGACCTTATGCAGTTGCGAGCGCCGTAACTTTAGTACTAAAACACTTAGATCTACCTACCACGTGCAGTACTCGACCCTGAAGGTGACCAATTTTTGTGTCAAGTAGAGAATTATTTTAAAAAGTTTTACTTCCACCATGACATACTTTGAAACAGTAGGCCTATAGAAATGTAAATTGCTTGTCACCGGTCCTGATGCTGTCTGTGCTCGGAATTTGGGAGGGGTGGGGTGGGGGGGGGGGGGGGCAATACTTGCACTTATCATACTCTTGATTCTTCACTCTCTCAATGGACCTTCAGGTTTTAAAGCATAAGAGTGCTGTTGTTCATATATTATAAAGATACATAGCTGTGTGTGCAGTGTTCACGTACACGTGTATATGTCGTAAAACTGTAAAACATCCTGGTCACCAGAGGTTGGAGTGAGGACAGAGTTTGGCCGGTTTGGTCTACATCACGATAGCATCAATAAGGAATGTAAACACGGCCATAATGTTGACCAGGGCTGAATAGCTTTCACTACTTTCAGTTGGATGACGGCCTCGCGAAAGTGAGAAAGTTAGCCTAGTCGGGACAAACTTCCTGCGGGCGCGCCTGCTCCAACAGACCTCGCCCACTAACAGCGGGTGAACAGGGGCGACAAACCCAACGGTGACGTCAGAGCAGGACTAGTCACGAGGCCAGAATGTGGCGGGAGAAAAGGCAAAAGTGTTGGTTGATTAAACGGTGGGCAAGCTGGTGTAGTGATCTAAGCCAATGCTTCTAACATAGTTCCCATGGTTACTATCTTGTCTGTTTACCTGCACTTCTTTATGGGCAGACTAATTATTTGATTTGTTTTCAAGAACTGATTTACATTTTTTACCTTATAAGGCCAGTTACATCTAGCTGAAGTGTAGGTGACCTCAGTTCATGGCTATAGAGCACAACGAAAGAAGCTATCATAAAATAATGCTTGCCGACTTCCAGATTGCTCTCGAAAGGACAGGTCTGAATCAACCTTTTTCTGGTCAATTGGTTGCTGTAGAGCTGCATAATGATATATTGTATTGAAATAATATTGAAAGATTACCCTATCTACTTGCCATCGGTGATGGGTAAACCAACATCAGACGTGTGAAAGCATGTCCCCTATGGTACAGTTGACTACGGATGTCTGTTGATGTCGGGGTAGTGAAAAAATAATTAACTCATCCCAAGTTCAACTGAACCGCTGGGATTCGTTAAAGCCCCATAACACCTAACGATGAATTGTGTCAGATTCGTCGTATGCGAGAACTGTCCGTTTTATCGAGCTGTGTAGTCTGTTTAGACGTTCCGATGTATCGTCCAGTTTTCTGTCGATCAGGGAGATTCCTAGTCCTAGTCGTTGACTTGACTGCAAATGTGCAACGTACCGGGTGACCATGACACACAGCTTCACCATTGACGATCAACTAATTAATTAAACTGCTAAAATGTACATAATAACGCATCAAATCTGGTTTTGCGAGAGCAACTACACTTAATCAGAAACGCCGATTCCGAATATGAAGTCAGTTTTTACGTGCGATCATTATTTTTAAAAATTTGAGCCGTAAGTTTTATCCTGCGCGGGGGCAAAGTATAAAGTGATTTCTACTTCACAGCGCGTCTCCCCCAAATCTGACCGTGATCGCTTGGAAAATCTCTGCCAGTGCATGCCAAGGTCTCTCAAGACTCGAAATGAGCAACAACAAAAAACCCCAACAATAAACAACCCCCCCCCCCAAACAAACAACAACCAACCCCCCCCCCACCAAAAAAACCAACCTTAATGGGGTAAAAAGATTTCGTAGCATGAATGGCAAAATGAGAAGTAAACTACATATGTATTGTAGACATCTTGGACGAGAGCGTTGTTGGCACATCCTTAAACCCAGTCGACTCCCGTGTCTCAGGACGTCTGGGGGTTTCCTACATGAATGATGTATCGTATTTATGAATTCAGGAAGTTCTCTCTCTCTCTCTCTCTCTCTCTCTCTCTCTCTCTCTGTCTGTCTGTCTGTCTGTCTGTCTCTGTTTGTGTGTGTGCGTGTGTATTCTAATCTTCAGTCGAGAGGGTTAAAAAATCAGCTCGTAGATCAACTGTCTCAAACTGAAGGCTGAACAAAATCTTGTGCTCTCTGAAGAAACAAGTCGTTGACCACCGGCTGAAGCCTATTCAAATCATTGCTATCAGCAAGGCTATCTTACGTAATCTGCTCTCGTTATAGTCATAGTTTACGCGAATATTAATCAGCGAGCCATATATCCACTCGTCAGAGGCTGTTGTTTGTAAGGGGGGTAGGCCTACATTATGTATTGGGAACGTATGGGTTGCTTTGGACTTGTACTTGTTGGCAAATGCTCCCTGGCAAGAGCGGTAAACCGCACGTATCAGTGTTCAGCGACATCGTGACCGAAGTGAAACCATATTATTCAAGAATGAAGTCGAAACTCTCCCCCCCAAAAAAAACAAAAACAAAACAACAACAACCAAAAAACAAACAAACCAACAACAACAAAATTATATCTAATCTTTGTTAATGTTATTGTTACTATAGACTTAATATAGATCTACATGTACCCAGGTAGTTGTCGGTCGGTAGGTTTTGTTCTTTATGCAAAAAACTAAAAGCTAAATAAGAAGGGCATCTTATGCAGGGTCTACATGTATTTTAATGTTCTAGAGACGCCAATCAATCAAAGAATACAGAGACATTTTCGATGCCGACCATTTTATATTTCATAGTTGCCTATTTGTACTTCATTTTTTTGTTTTTTTGTTTTGGTGCTGTACTCGCCTTAGATGGTAAGATTTAACTGTTTCCACTCATTGAGCACAGGGGCTCTCAACACGTACATATAGCTGTGCGACGAAAGTCAAGCAAAGGGTCCCCAGAAAGTTAAAACTGAAAGTTTGAAGCTCTTAAAAGACAACCGGTCTGGTGTGTTATTCTTTCGGCGAGCAACGTTTTTAGAAGATTGTAACAGAAGGGGATGCAAAAAGACTTCTTTTTTCTTGTCATCTTCCCGAAATGGATTCACGTTGCATGAAATGTGCACTAAGACGCAAAGGGGTAGGGCCGGATTTAGCCCCTTGCTGGAAACATAAAAAAAAACCCATCGCTCCTGAGTCAAGACGCTCCATCAGACATTGCAAAAAAAATTACGATCCGCGCATATTTCTACATAGCGTACGATTATTTCGAGAACCTCAGCAGATCGAGCCCTGAGGGCTACAGCGCCCCAAAGCTCCGTCTACCTGAAGTCGGACTCTGCGAGGACCACAACTTGTTTGTTACAACACTAGACATTCTCAACCCAGTACCACTTTGAATTAAAAAAAAACCCAACCGTCATGTGTAGAAAGAGATGACGAAAAAAAAAGATAAAAAAAGAAGATAAAGAGCAGAAGTGAATTTGGATTTGAACCGTGTACTCCTGCTTACACATTTCAGCATAGGACTTATCCATATTCCAAACCGATTTTCTCATAGCATAACCTTATCTAGTTGAAATGGAACCCCCACCCACCCCCCTCTCCTTTCAGCTTCTATTTCTACAGGAATACAGAGCTTAAAGTTAAAAAAAATATTTCAACGAAATGAGAAAACTAAGAATTGGTCTAATCTAGATTTGTTTTTCAAAAGCTTTAATTAGCTGAAGTCCGAGGCGTTTGATTAAAACTTGACGTGTTACATGTGGCACCTTTCTGCCTGTGTTCAAGTTCAAGCATTTTTGGTGCGTATTGTTCAACAAAGAATGAGACACCCTTTCCTTCCTTAGTGTGACCGTGGTGAGGTCAGGGCTAAACCGTTGATGTTTGAGGTTCAAACCTTCGGTCCAGGTACGGGTAGTACATT